GTTTCCACCCCCCCACACACACAGAATGCCTTGAAAACATAAACTAATCTGTTATTTCCCGCCTCCTTTTTCCCTAGAGACCTTATTTCTAGAGCTCTCTGGACTCTGTTCTTTTTGGAATGGTTGCTCTCTGGGCCTCTGCATCAGTAGTCTTGGGACCTGCCTTTGCTGCTTTCCTGAGTTAGACCTATTTTCTGACGTCTCATGTCTTTCCCTTTCTTGCTGTTATGTGCTCATTTTACTCAAGCACATCTTCCTGTGAGAGAGTGTGGAAAGAAAATTGTTGAGCTCTTGCATGTGTGGAAATATCTCCATGTAACTCTCATACTTGGTTAATACTTTGTGTGTGGAATTTGAGGTTGAAAGTCATTTTCCTTGGAATTTTGAAGGCATTGCTTTGCAATCCTCCCGTATCTGCTATTGCTGTTGAAATGTCTAATTCCATTTAGTTTTCATTCCTTACTATGTAGAGTGAGTGTATAATTTATTGTCAAAACTGGGACATTGGAGGTACTAGCCTGAAAGAATACTAGGACAACAGGCATAAACCAGGACTCTCTGGGGTAAACTGGGACATGCGGTCACCCTCTTTATATGTGACCTATTTTTTCTGTAAGCATTTAGGATCTTCTCGTTACTTCCAGTGCTCCACATTTCATGATGATGTGTCTTGGGAAAGGTCTTTTTTTCATTCACTGTACTAGATTTTTGCAGGCTCATTCCTGTCCTTCGATGTGGGAAATTGTCATTACCATTTCTTTAATTATGTTCTCCTAGCCTTTGTTAGTCAGATGTTTGACATTCTGGATTGTCTTCTAATTTTTTTCTTCTCTTATATATAAGCAAGGGGAAAAAAATAAACCAAACACACAGATAAGCAGGAGGATGTTATCTTTTTGCCTTTTCATTTCTTATCTGAAAGATTTTTATGTTTATCTTCCAGTTCTCGTTTGAAATTTAATATTTTTTCTGTTTTGTGTTGAATTTCTTATTTTACTCTTTTCTCCTAGCATCCTATTCTTAGGGAAATGTATCTTCTACTTACCTAAGGGTGTCAATTCTTCCTTCTTTCTTTCCTTAGGTTTCTTTTGTTTTCCGCATTGCTTTCTTGTGTCTCCTTTCTTCCTGCCTCGTTTGGTCTACGTCTGAGCCTTTCCTCAGATGCTGGTGATCTTTAACTCTCTTCATATTTAGTAGTAAGACATTCCAAGTGTCTCTGAAGCCTGAGCTATACTGTGAACAAACCTCTTGTTTGGAATACTCTTCAAATGGCGGAACTTGGAAATGTGATTTTCCGGGGAGAAGAAGGATCAGCCACAGAGTTTCTCCCAGAGAGACCCCCTCCTCTTCTGCCTGGGAGGTTTTGTATCTGGGTGCCGGCATTGTGAGTGTAGGGTCAGGGACCGAGGCAGAAGTTCCCACAGATGGGCATGCACCTTTCCCTTCTACCACATCCCAGGCTTTGGTGCATCATAGCCTTACATCTGGAGCTTCTGGGGTTCATTTTTTTCCAGAGAAGAAAACTTCTTTTATCCAAGTGAGAGGGGGTCATAGAGGGGTTAGTCACTTGTGGGATAGTCAGGGCCCCGTGGTGCTATCCCTCCCACTTCTGCCACTGCATCTTCTCCTGGGGATTCTGTGGGCCTAATTAGTTCCACCCTCACCTCTATTCCCTCTGGGCACTTGGGTGATAACTGCCTTTTACTCTTCTGTCACCTGACTGTCTTTGAAAAATTTATGAAAATCTGCTCTCAATAACTCTCCCTTTCTCTTCTTATGGGTTAATACATTTGTTTTATTCCTCTTCTGTCTTTTAGAGGGGTTGAGAAGGGAGAAGAGATAAACTAATGCATTCAGTCTGCCATTTTTAACTGATTTCGGCATGCATTTTTCTAGACAAAGTATTGTAAATGCTGATTAGATGCTGAACAGCACTATCAGGCCTATTCCTCATGTATGTTGTTACGGGTTAAATAGGTTTTTCTGGGCTGACCTGGAAACCTAACTACATCTATGATTTTCGCCTAGAACTAGAGAAACAATCAAGCTTTTGTGAGCTGACCCTGGAATAAAACAGACTGGAACAAAAATATTTCACACATGTCTCCATTTTTCTAGTCACAAAGAAAATTACAAATATTGTGTCATTGTTGAAATCAAAAGTTCCAATAACTGTAACAGAAACCTGTATTTTAATTGAAAAGTTTATTCATAAAGTTAAGCTATAAAAATTGAACTGAGAGGCAAAATTAAATTCTTGAGCACTATTCCTAAAGCTTAATTTTTCAGCACCTTCTTCGAAAGTGGTTTTCCTAATTAAATTAAAACCCAGTGATTGCGTCAGCTGTGGGAAATAGCAAGCACCTTGGGAATAGTTTGTTCACTTGTATTTTCTCGCTACTTTCTTATTTCTACCTGGCACACAACAGGATCTTCTGAAACACTGGCTGAATAAACTAGACTTGGCCATATTGACCAGCAAAATCATCTTCCTTGTCATGAATGACTAATATTCTTAGTCGCTGTACAGGGCACTTGGGTAGTGAAAATGCAGCCCAGAATATGGAAAGCACACAGAGTGCTTGAAAATAAATGCTGCACCAACATGGTGTTTGAATTGCAGAGACCACTGCAAATGTAATAGATCCACTGCGGTTGTGTGGCTCCAATTTCCAGCCTTCGGGAAGGGCATATGGGGCTCTCTTCCAGAGGATCACCCCTGTTGTGCTGGGGCAGCCTTCCATGAGCCCTTGCTCCCAGTGGCCATGACAGCCCCAGTCTCAAGGGATCAGAGACGATTAGGAAAACCAGGAACAGTTGTTATAATCTCTTCTGTGGCTGGAACAAGGTAAGGGCAATGAGATGCAGTCATTCCATTATTTCTCTTCCTTTCTTAGTGTTTTCTTGCTCTTCTTTTTCTTCTTCTCCTTCTTCTGGTTTTATTATTAACCTCTTCCCCTTCTATCCCACAGACTTGCTTCTGACAGAATATTGACTAGGAACCAGAAGCCCATTTTGGCTTAGCCTTCAGGGCAGCCGTTTACAGAGTAGCAGTGCTACATAGGTTTACTGTGTCGTATGTCTGTGTAACAGTGGATTTGGATCTTGTATTTAGCTGCCAGAAGTGACTGTGATGAAGTAGGAGAGATAAACTGATAGATTGGCTGCCAGAAAGATGTTGGGAATCAATCAGATAAACAGGGTAGAGAAATAGCTTGCTGTTTTCTAGTGATAATAAACCAGTGGCCTCTGGTCCCCGCATTTTTAAACGTAATTGCTGTAGTAATAATGTCCAAAATAAGCAAATGAAAAAACATCACAGGAGGTTTTTTAATTGCGATTGAGATATCCTTTTCCCTTTTGCAATAAAGATTCATCTTACATGGAGATGAACATTTCTATAAATTTGTTTTACTTCTTCCAGTGCCTACTTACATAAACAAATGAAAATTAGAGAGTGAACTACTTTCATAGAAATTTATTCCTCTTCTACCCTTCCACAGACTTCAGCTGTTTTAACTTGGTGAAATATCTGTATTGTTACTATGCCTCACCTACAAAATAATGATCTTTTTTGCTGAAGAAACACATTTTAAAGTCAAACCTGTACTATTGACAGATGATTAGCAGGATTATTTAGTGTCTTCCCTTAGATTTCTCTAAGGAGATTTTGGGGATTTTAATCTCTGTTGCTATTTCCCTGCACATAGCACTTGTATAGGAAAGATGATAATCTAGTTGTGTTTTTTTTTTTTAATAGTAATTTAAAACTGTCCTTCCTTAATGTTTAACCTTTCTTCATTTTTAAGCAGGCTACACACCCAACATGGGGCTTGAACTCACAACCCTGAGATCAAGAGTCACATGCTCTAACGACTGAGCCAGCCGGGCACCCCTAATGTTTAACTTCTAAACATTACTTCTTTTCACCTAAGACTTTAAGATCCAATGCAAATTCTTAAATGGTGTGTGTGTGTGTGTGTGTGTGTGTGTGTGTGTGTTTTAAATTTCTGAGAGAGAGAGAGAGAGCGCGCAAGTGAGCATGAGCAGGGGAGGGTCACAGAGAGAGGGAGACACAGAATCTGAAGCAGGCTCCAGGCTCTGAGCTGGCAGTCAGCACAGAGCCCGACGCTGGGCTCGAACCCACGAACCACGAGATCATGACCTGAGCCAAAGTCAGACGCTTAAGTGACTGAGCCACCCAGGCACCCCATCCAGTACAAAGTCTTAAGTCTGTGTGAAAGGTGTACGTTTACACTTGGGTCAGATGCAGCGGACTGCCCAGGACCAGGAGGAGAGTAGGAGAGGAATGTAGAGTCCCCATGAAGCTCACTATGGGACAAGAGACCAGTTCTCCCATATTTGCAGTACACACTTATGACTTCCCTTAGGAGGTTCCCTCTTAGAATTGTTGTGGCCATGAATGCGTTGGTGTCATACATATTGCATTGCTTCATAGTAAGCATAGTGGAGTACCAGGTGTGGAAAGGAAGAGAGTGAAGTTCACACTTTTAATTACATGTAATAAAGGCTTTTGCCTGAGGAAGACCTTCCTGACTGTTGGAGGTTATAGGTCAGAAGTTAACCATGTACCATTATCCTATTGGTGAGAAGCTGATGCATTTTCCTTTTTGCCACACAGCCTTTTCCACCTGACCTTTTAAAGATTCTCCATCGGTATCGATGAGGTGGACAAAACTAATCATAAAAACAATGAAGGGAATGTTGCACACTCATTGATCCATTTGAAATGAACTGCAGTACAATAAGTCTTCTAAATGGACTTCTGTTCTCAGCTATTGCCATAGCCACCTTTTTAAAGATATATAAATATGAAAGGGTTAATGGGAATTCAGTCATGCTCTTGCCACTGGGTTGTCCCTTATTGATTGTAGTTTTAGAGCTGTCAGTATGCCATTCAGAATTCCTACTATGCCCTTTTAAAGTCAGTTGGTGCTGGGAGATGATAAATAAATCAGTTGCTTTCCTTTTTCCGCTAGCTCCTTCGAGAACTCATAGAACGGAAGACCAGCTCCTTGGATCCCAATGATCAGGTGGCCATGGGAAGGTAATTTAGATATGGCTTTCTGTTCATGCAAGCAGCCTATATAATAGTTTCTCCCTTTTAGTCCCATTAATTCTGCCTCAAAGTCAGTGGTCAGCCCTATAATTATGGAAGTTAAGCAAGATAATAAGAGCTAGAGAGACAAAATGATGTAAATCCTGTTTAACCCTACCCTGCCTTAAGTGAAGTTTGAATGAGAGTATAAAACACCTATATGTGTTTTAGAGTTTGTTTTTCAGAATCCTCCTTATGCCCTTAGCTCTCTGATTTGGGCAGTAATTGTATCTGTATCAATCTCTGACCAGTGGATAAAAAGCAACCACCCAAATGTGTGCTCTCAGCCGTCAAGAACGTGGCACTGTGCACAACAGGTTCCTTGCTTATAGTTGAATCTGCTTTGTTCGAGTCTGCCCTAATTTAGACCTCCACCTCTTCAGTAAAAGCCTCGGCACAATTAGAAATGGAACGTGGCAGCATTACCCAGATGTCAGGGTAGAATGTAAAGTAGTGAAGGAAGGCTCTTGTGTGTATGCTTCATCCTGTGGTTGGAAAATAAAAAGGACATTTAGAGTGCTACCTAATGAATAGTGTACATTTAAATAGCCATGAGCCATAATTTGCAAAAACATGAAAGGAAACAAAAGCTGAAGGGCCAGGATGGGATTCTGGGAAGAGCAGCATTTTGAGAATGCAACAAAAAATTTGTGTTGATGAAATAATTTTATTTGAGTAAAACATTCTTTGAGTTTTAGGGGTAGGATATTGTTTATATTTTGTGTATCTCTGGAAGGCTATAGAGAGCTGCTGACTATAAATTTAATGTGATACAGCAAATTGCATTTAAGTGGTGATTATATTGTACATTTATCTGACTTTACAATAAAATAGATTATGGTAATTAAGATTATATTAAGATTACAGTAATTGGATTTCCCTAGATTATTTTTTTTCTGATGTTGAGTTTTCGTTGTATAAATCAGGTAAGATGACTAGCTGCTGCTGCTTCTCCTTTTTTTCACGTTTGTTCATATGAGGAATTTGTTCATGTGAGGAATCAATGAAGATTTTCTTAGCCCAGTATCCTTTATTTGAAAGATTAATTCCTTTTAATCTAAAAGGACTATAGGATATATGAATATTGTTTGGGTCCTGATTCAGACAAACTAACTGTAAAATTGAGATGATCCGAGAAATTTGAAGACTGACTCCATATTTGATAGTAAAGGATTACTGTTCACTTTTTCATAGGTACAACAGTCATATTGAGACTATATTGGGGGTGGGGGGGAAGAACTCTTACCTCTCAGGAGCACCTTCTTAAATACTACAGATGAAATAAAAATTAAATAAACAAAATGACTAGAAAACTAGTGTCAGTAGTGGATAATTATAAAAAATTAGCAAAAATTGGCAAGTGCAAGAAAAAGCACTTGGGTATTAAAAAAGGGAAAATTGAAGAATTTGTTTATTCAGGCCAAACAGCAGTTACAATAATAGTAATAGAACATGCTGTAAAACTAAAACGTTGAAAGCAAACCCAAGCAGCTATACCCCATTTGATGGGTTTTCCTGCAGACTGCTGGATTTAGTGCTTGTCACAGCAACTCTAGACAGTAAGAAGCATTGTTAACCAAATTCGCTGTAGAATTTCCCAGCTGCCATTTGTTTTTTTACCATTGTACAAATCCTCTTCAATTGATTAGTCGCTTTGGCCCCAGACTATCTTGAGGAACTTGATGTAGGTTGATGATTTCTTTCTTCAGGGCTGTTAGTGAGAAAAATTCCAATTTGTCAATAGGTGTAACTATTTGTGTTCGTGATGATGCATAACATTGCTTGTGAATTTCCCAGGCAGTGGCTTGCGATCCAGAAATTACGAAGCAAAATCCACAAGAAAGTAGATAGGAAAGCCAGCAAAGGAAGGAAACTTCGGTGAGTTACTTTTTAGAATGAATTTTCACATGTTACGTTACATCAGTTGTATTTTAAAGGCTATTATGTCATTTCTCTATTTCTTCTAATGATTCTGTTTTTAAGGATCAGAGAAATAACTAAAACAATATTGGTGGCTTTTTAAAAAAAAATGTTTTATTTATTTCTGAGAGAGAGACAGAGACAGAGAGACAGCGTGAGCAGGGGAGAGTCAGAGAGGGAGATACAGAATCTGAAGCAGGCTCCAGGCTCTGAGTTAGCTGTCGGCACAGAGCCCGATGTGGGACTTGAACCCATGAACTGTGAGATCATGACCTGAGCCAAAGTTGGACATTTAACCAGCTGAGCTGCCCAGACGCCCTATTGGTGGCTTTTTTTGAGGCTCAATTTTTCTCACTCTAATACCATACTCTAATACTATAGTTTTAGTACCTTTTTGTTCTGCTGTTGTGAAAGGATGAGTTAAATAATACCTGTATTTTCCTGAAAGAGAAATAAGAAAACAAGATAGGATAGTTGAAATTGTCTTATATTTAAAAAGCAATTTGTATAGAACAATGTAACAGTTTTACCTTGGATGCTTATTTAAAATAGGATTATATTGGTCCATTTTCATGATGCCATACATGTACGCACTGTGCGAAGAAGATATAAACGAAGATTCCAGAGAATATTAACAATGTGCTTAAATGAGATGAGAAATATAATTTTTTTAAAGATTTTATTTTTCAGCAGTCTCTGTCCCTACAGTGAGGCTCAAACTCATGACCCCGAGATCAAGAGTCTCATGCTCGACTGCCTGACCCAGCCAGGTGCCCCCAAGAAATATAATTTTTATGAGAAAACATATTTCCGACTATAGGAAACCCCTCAGTCGTGTGTGTGTGTAGTGTGCAGATACATATTTTATGACTGTTATGTAGTATCATTCACACAAAGCCTCCATGTCAAAGAAATGTCTTGTAATTGAGGAACACTTGGAAAAAAATCTTAAACTCATTGTGTTAGGACAGTTTAGACTGATAGCTAATCCCACATCCTTATTAGAGCCTGCCTGTCATTGAATTACCTTTAGACAAACGTGGATCTATCTCATTTTTAAATAACTTCAGAGAAGTTGACTTCACAACTACTTTATTTTTTTCACAACTACTTTAATTAACCTGTTTTTATATGTACCAAACTCACCAGGATATATGTATTTCTCTTTAACTTTGCAGAAGTGCAAAGCAGCTTTTCATCATCATTTTATTCAAAGTCACTTTCTTAAATTTCAGGTTCAGTTTTATAGTTTGTTCAACTTTTTTTAATGTGTTGGAATTTTCAAGTCTTCATACTTTTCCAGGTTTGTTTTTAGTGGGGTGGTTAAGAGCATGGACTAGAAAGCCAAACTTACTCTTTAATGTTGAGATCAGATTTTTCTCCAGTATTGTGCTTTTATTTTTTTAATTTCTGTTTTGAGAGAAGCAAGAATGTGACTGGAAGAAGGGGCAGTGGGGAGGGAGAAAGAGAATCCCAAGCAGTCTGCACACCCAGTGTGGAGCCCGATGTGGGGCTCGGTCTCAAAAATGTGAGATGATGACCTGAGCTGAAATCAAGAGTCCGATGCTCACCTAACTGAGCCATCCAGGCACTCCTCCAGTACTGTGCTTTTAAAATTGTAGCTTTATGAGGCTATACATATTTTCTAGAGGGAGAAACCCAGAATCCAGGGAGTTGGGTTCAAATCCTGGCTTTGACTGGCTATATGATTTTGGTTGTTCTTTATTCTCTGGACTTCATTTTTCTCATTTACTAAGTAGAGATAATAATCTCTACTTTATAGGGGAGGCCTGGGTGGCTCAGTTGGTTAAGCATCCAACTTAGACTCAGGTATTGATCTCCAGTTCGTGGGTTTGAGCCCTGCGATGGGTGCTGTGGTGACAGCTGAGAGCCTGGAGCCTGCTTCGGGTTCTGTCTCCCTCTCTTTGTCCTTCCCCCACTCACTCTCTGTTTCTCTCTGTCTCTCAAAAATGAATAAACATTAAAAAGCCTGCTTTATAGATTTGGTCTGAAAATTAAAATGATGTATAAATGGGGCATCTGGGTGGCTCAGTCAGTTAAGTGTCTGACTTCAGCTCAGGTCATGATCTCCAGTTTGTGGGTTCAAGCCCCACATTAGGCTCTATACTGACAACTCAGAAGTTGGAGCCTGCTTTGGAGCGCTCGCTCTCTCTCTCTCTCTCTCTCTCTCTCTCTTCCCCTCCCCACTCATGTGCTCACATTCTCTCTCTCTCAAAAATAAACATTAAAAAAATCTTTTTAAAAATGATATGTAAATGTCTGGTAGGTAGTAAGCGTTTGAAAGTATTAATTTCTTTGGTTTCTCTGGTACTTACCCTGTTGGTATTGCTGTTGCAAATATACTGTCTTCAGAAGAATTAAGAGGGGAGAAAATCTCTTTTCTACATTACTGTTACGAATTTTATATTGGGGCAAGTTTCTATATGTATGTACCCCTTGAGAGCAAGAACCCTATCTATGTATTGTAATTCCTTGTAGACATTAGTCAGCCAGAAATGTTTTTTGGACAATTATGTCATTAAAATTAACATGCTCACTAGGTAAGGAGAAATGACTATAACCTAAACATAGCGCAGAGTAAGAAGTCTGGGTGAGTGTTTGGGAACTGAGTACTTTTCTAGCATGGCAAATAACTTAGGAGAACATGAATCTTTTGTTTTCCAAATCAAAATATACTTGTCATGGTTATTATTTATTAAGTTGAAAGAAAAAAACAGGATTTTGTTTTAATAGCAGTTGTTTTTCTTATATTAATTTATTAAACTCACCTCATTAAACTGTTCGTTAGAGGTATGGTTGCAAGTATATAGATCTGGTTTTGTAGCATTTTGATGGTGATTTAGATTCATGCATCCTTGTAAATCCGGAGACATTGACAATCTTATTCTGGCAACAGGCAAGTGGGAGACAGATATTCTATTTAAAACTGGGCTAAACATTAAAATGTAAGAAGTGGTTAATTAAAATATAGAAAGGATTCCTGCTGAAGTTCTAGGAACCATATGGAGATGCCAGGTGAGATCCATTCTACCCTGAAGGAGTATGTCCTCAGTAAGTGGACAGTGATGCAATGGCGGATCCCTGATGTAGTGGCCACCCCATTGCCTGTGGGCAATGGGTGTAGGTTGCTCAGGAAGACTTCCAGTAAGATACCCTCCACACTTCACACTGAGCATACTAGCAGAGTTAACCCAATGAAAAGCCAAAGAGAATAACGTTTGCAAAAACACAGACTTCAGAGTGTATGTACCATTTTGGGAACTGTAATTTAATTTATTTTGGCGGGAACTTAAAGTGAATATAGGGGAAAGGCAGGAGATGAAGCTGTATGAGTAGCTGAGTGCTAGGTCATGGCCGTGCTAAGAATTTGGCTTTATTCTGTAGACTATAGTGAGTACTTGAAAAACGAAGACTGAGGAACTCTCACAGAGTGAAGAGAGTTTCTCTCTCAGAAATAAATAAAACATTTAAAAAATTAAAAAAAGGGGCGCCTGGGTGGCTTAGTCGGTTAAGCGTCCGGCTTTCGCTTAGGTCGTGATCTCGCGGTTCGTGGGTTCGAGCCCCGCGTCGGGCTCTGTGCTGACTGCCAGCTCAGAGCCTGGAGCCTGTTTCGGATTCTGTGACTCCCTCTCTCTCTGACCCTCCCCTGCTCACGCTGTCTCTCTCTCCTAGAAATAAATAAAAAAAAAAAAAAAAAAAAAAAACATTAAAAAAATAAATAAATAAAAAATTAAAAAAAAAAGAATCAGGGATTGATCTTTATTAATAGTAATAGTGATAACCAACAGTTATAAAACTCTCACTGTCAGGTACTGTTAAGCATTTTATGTGCAGAGAGAACAAAAAACGCAGACTCTAGAGCTAGACTGTGAGGTTGAAACTTGAATCTTCTCTTTACCGACCTGGAGACCTTGGGCAGTTCATTTACATCTCTGTGCTTCAGTTTCCTCATCTGTGAAACGAGTATATTAATTAAAGTCACACTTCGGAGGGTCATTATCAGATTAGATGAGCTAATTCCCGTAAAGTGCTTAGAGAAGATAAGTAACTCACATAGCTGGTATAGAGCTAATAAGTAGCAAATTAGGGTTTGAGCTAATTGGTCTGATTGCAGAGCCCATGCTTCTATCTATTTTTTATTTTGAGAGAAAGAGTATATGTACATGTTCAAATGGGGAAGAGGCAGAGAAGAGGGAGAGAGAATCCCGAGCAGACTCCATGCTGTCAGTGCAGAGCCTGATAAGGGCTCCATCTCAGAAACCATGAGATCATGACCTCAGCCGAAATCAAGAGTAAGACGCTTAACCCAACTAAGCTACCCAGGCTTTAATGTCATTAATGTGACAATACAGAGCCCATGCTTCTACCCTGTGGCCTATTTCTCTGGGCAGGACACACTATAGGCACTAAACTGATGTAGTGGCTACATTAGCATTCTGCCCTGAAGGATTAAACATGTGGCCCAGGCCAGGTGAGAATATTATAAATAACTTCCTTAAATTAGACCTCAGGAAGGACTGGTAGATGTCCCAGCTGCCATCACCGATACTGGGTTCCACTAGAGAGCAAGTTTTCTCTCTTATTTGTGATAGAGTTGGAGAGAGGAGATTTTCAGAAATGTTATAGCAAAGATGAACATTACTTTGTGAAAACATCAGTTTAAATGATAGCAGGTCAGTGACCAACAGCCTTGTCAGACTGGGCATGGTAACTTGTTATTGGATGCTAGCAAATAATTTATTAGGAATAAAAAGGGATATTTTGGGGGGCGCCTGGGTGGCTTAGTTGGTTAAGCGTCCGACTTTCGCTTAGGTCATGATCTCGCGGTTCGTGGGTTCGAGCCCTGCGTCGGGCTCTGTGCTGACTGCCAGCTCAGAGCCTGGAGCCTGTTTCAGTCTGTGACTCCCTCTCTCTCTGACGCTCACCTGCTCACGCTGTCTCTCTCTCTCTCTCCTAGAAATAAATAAAACATTAAAAAAAAAAAAAGGGATATTTTGGTTTGGTAAAATAATTATAGCTATTGATTATCAGTATTATATATAAGTGGATTTGGTCATGATTTAATCAAAATTTCTAATGTAAATGAATTAAACTCAAGCCTTTAATAACAGGATGTCTTACTGTGTTTGTCTTTCCACAGCAAAATTACATTTGTCTTTTCTTGGTATGGTTGTTAAAAGTGTTTTTAATACTAAAATATGCATCCACCCTCAGCAGCACTGAGATGAGATGAAATCTATTGCATTAAGTACACATTACTAAATCATCTTTAATGTGATTACTTCTTAAAGTCTGTCTTTCATCATGCTGTTAATAGTTATTGAATGTACTGTATTAAGATGTAAAGGTATTGCACAGAGCAGTATCATCCAATAAAAACATATATTACATATGTAATTTTAAATGTTCTAGTAACCACATTTATAAAGTAAAAAGAATCAGATGGTTAAGCTTAAAATTTTTTTTAATGTTTTTATTTACTAGTGAGAGAGAGAGAGAGAGACAGCATGAACAGGGGAGGGTCAGAGAGAGAGAGGGAGATACAGAATCTGAAGCAAGCTGTCAGCACAGAGCCTGACGTGGGGCTCGAACCCACGAAACGTGAAATCATGACCTGAGCCAAAGTTGGACGCCTAACTGACTGAGCCACCCAGGCGCCCCTCAGATGGACTTAAGTTTAAAAATGTAATTCACTTAACTCAATATATCAAAAATATTGAATATTTAATTATTCAATACTGAGTATTTCAACAATTTATTAACTTATTGTTTTAAAATTATTAATGGAATATTTTACATTCTTTTTTCCATCTCAAGTCTTCAAAGTCTCCTGCACTTCTCGTTTTGGCACATTTGCAGCAATCAGACTAGCCACGTTTTAAGTGCCTAAATAACCGTATGTGGCCATTGACTGCTGGATTGGACAATACAACTGTGGAGTAGACCTCATAGTCTTTGTTCAAAGAGTGAATTAAACCTCTCTTTGGATACAGCCAAGAACAGTACTCGTGTTTTCAGTTGGACACCAAAGTTTGGCAAAGCCTAAAGACATTAAAATGCATTTATTAATAGTACTTATACTTTACACATAAAAGGTTATGTGAATGATTATAGTCTCATTAACATAACCCTATGGAGGGTATTTTGGCTCAGTGTTTCAACTTTCAATATATATACCTTTTGATTCAGCAGCAATTTCACATCTCAAAATTTGTCTGAAAGAAGTACGTGAACAAACATACAATAATCTATGTATAAGAGTTTTCACTTTAGCACTGTTTAGTATGGCTTCTAAGGAGAACAGTCTAGAGGTGCCTGGGTGGCCCAGTCAGCTAAGTAAGTGTCCAACTTCAGCTCAGGTCATGACTCATGGTTCGTGAATTCCGAGTTCCAGCCCCTCATCAGGCTCTGTGCTTTCATCTCAGAGCCTGGAGCCTGCTTTCGATTCTGTGTCACCCTTTCTCTCTCTGCCCCTCCCCTGCTTGTGCGCTCTCTCTCAAAATAAAGAGATTTTCTCTCTCTCAAAAATAAAAAAATTATAATATATTGACGATGAAATATTCTGTAACTATGGAAAAGAATAGAATATGGCAAGGTTCAGTGGAAAAAAGCATAATACGGAGTATTAAGTATATTACAACAGTCGTTTTATGTGAAAACTGCTAAGTTTATATTTGTCTTATATATGGAAATTCCTACAGCTATACTTAACAGTTTTAATTACCAGTGGGGTATAAGGCTGCAGGAGGCTTGTCTATTTTCTATACATTTCTGTATTTGGATTATTTTTATAGGAATTATATATTTTTATAATTAGGAGGTGGCAGACATTTAAAAAAACAAGTCTACATAGAGATTTTGTTTTTGCATCTTATGAAATATGAAGAATTAGAAGCATATAAATGTTCAAAAACGCATTATAGTATTTCCACTCCTGGAATTGTAGATAGCTATTCCGATATTGTTATGGGACAAAGCTTACAATACTAAGTGAAGAAAAGAACTTAGAAAATTTATGTGTGTGTGTATGTGTGTGTGTAAATAACAGCGTCACTATTAAAACAAACATAACTTATCAAAATGTTAACAACTGTCTGTAGGTGAAAGAACTATACATTTTGTGTGTGCTTCATTGTTTTTTTTTCCCCCATATTTTCTACAATGAATTTATACTTTTTCTATTACTCTTGTAATGGGGAAAATCTCATTACTATTTTTCTTATTTTTTTTTTAATTTTTTAACATTTATTTATTTTTGAGGAAGAGAGAGACAGAGTGTGAGCAGGGAGGGGCAGAGAGAGAGGGAGACACAGAATCCAGAGCAGGCTCAAGCTCTGAGCTGTTAGCACAGAGCCTGACTCAAGGCTCAAACTTAGGGACTGTGAGATCATGACCTGAGCCAAAGTTGGACGCCTAACAGACTGAAGCCACCCAGGTGCCCCTCATTACTATTATTCTTGCAAAATTCATTTGTTAAGAGAAAAAAGAATGAAATGTGGGAGGCTTAGATGGGTGGTATTGTAGAGAATCAAATTATTTGATATGCATAAAAAATGTTTTTAACACTGTAAAGTTAATATGTACATGAAAATACCATATTTTTGTTTGTGGATAGTGTTCTTTTCAAGTAGAATTTTGTGGGTTTTTTGAAAGATTTTTTTTAAGTAATCTCTACACCCCATGTGGGGCTCAAACTTACAACCCTGAGATCAAGAATCACATGATCTACCAACTGAGCCAGCCAGATGCCCCCCAAATAGAGGTTTTTTTTTTTTAATTAAGAATTTTTTTAATGTTTATTTTATTTTTGAGACAGAGAGAGACAGAGCATGAGCGAGGGAGGGGCAGAAAGAGAGAGAGACAGAATCTGAAGCAGGCTCCAGGCTCTGAGCTGTCATCACAGAGCCCGATAAGGGCCTCGAACTTGTCAACTGTGAGATCATGACCTGAGCTGAAGTCAGACACTCAACCAACTGAGCCACCCAGGTGACCCTAAGTAGAGTATTTTGGTTAGAATTTTATAATATGCATATTGTCATACAGCCTTTTATAATGAACAGAAAGGGCTACCTCCTTTTAATTCTCTTCAGTATAATTTGGTCTGTAGAGGGTCATATAGTTATTCAGCTCCTTTCACTGGAGGATCTCAAAGCACTCCATACAAAAATACCCTTTTTTGGGGTGCCTGGGTGGCTCAGTTAGTTAAGCGTCTGACTTCGGCCCAGGTCATGATCTCATGGTTTATGGGATGGAGCCCCATGTCAGGCTCTGTGCTGACAACCTAGAGCCTGGAGCCTGCTTCAGATTCTGTGTCTTCTTCTCTCTCTGCTCCTCCCCTGCTCATGCTCTGTTTCTCTCTCTCTCTCTCTCTCTTTCTCTCTCTCTCTTACTCTCAAGGATGAATGAAACATTAAAAAAAATTAAAATACCCTTTTTTTCTATTGGTGAAAAATGGAAGTGATGTTATTTAAATTTCCATAACACCATGACTTGAAGATCTAGGGATCAAACTTGTTTTGTACTCAGATGTAATCCTTCACTTAAGGATGGGGGAAATGAAAGACTGGATCTAGTGAAGCCTTGTCTGACTCAGGGAACTAATGCTAGTGAGTATGGTGGTGGTGAGGCATTGTAACTTGGGTGTTGTTGTACCACCACCTACACTACTACCTACTAGTAATGACACTGAAAATGATGAAGATACACTTAGAGGAGGAAAACAGGATACTCAAGTCTTCTTTGTTTTCTGCCTGGAGTAATGTTTGAGGATTAGTATATTGCTCAAGAGCACAAGTGTATCTACTCTTTTTTGGGACTATGATGTAAATGAATCTGTGTTGAACTACTGTGATTTACAATGTGCTTTTGTCAGACTTTTCTCCTGTAATATTAAAGAACTAGAGGGAAATACAGTTGTGACTAGTATGTGCCAATGAATTGTTCCCTATTCCACTCTGGAGCCAGATGCTCCTGTGGTCAGTCCTGGAGTTTGTTAGCTCATAGAATGTGTTTCCTTTTCTAGGTTAATAGTTACTAATGTTGCTGCCATTTGTTTCCTGCTTTATTTAGGTTTCATGTCCTTAGCAAGCTCCTGAGCTTCATGGCACCTATTGACCAAACTACAATGAATGATGATGCCAGGTGAGTAATAGATTAATTATGTGTCTCAAATGGCTCCATGACAGCCTGATATTGACCTGTTCTACAGCCTGTTGCCCTCTCCATTTCTTCTTATCAGTTAACCATTTGTCATTGGCATCATAGCAAGGGTCCTTGTCACATCTCTTCACCCCATCATTACTGTAAAACCAAAACAAAATTTCTGTAAATATCAGTGCTGCCTTTAGTTGGTTTCTGTTTGCTTTTGCTGTTTTGTTTTTAACTTTAGCCATCTGGCCTAGGATATCTGGGCTTTTCTCTAGGACAGACACATGAGTCAGGACAGCACTAGTACTTGCTCTGTGTTTTTGGGGGTTTTGTACATATGCTCTCCATTATGAAATGGCTCTTGAGACTGCTCTAGAGATGTGCAGTAAGTTGTGTTTGTTCAGACTGCTGTTGAGGTTTTTAAAAATATTTTTACAAAAGAAATACTTGCTCATTTTATAAAACTGAAACAAGATAGAAGGGTATCCAAGAAATGTATCCTCATAATATTGCAGTTAATAGCCATTTTTTAAAGAATAATTCCTTCTATATTTATTAGTTGGCATTTTACTATATTGTAATATGTTTATATTACTTATTTAGCCATATCCCTTCTCATTAATTTATTTGCTACTCATTTATATCAGTATGAACTCCTGCTTTCTTATTCAGTGAATTATCTGTTACCGTCATTATTTTGATTTGAAATTGTCCAACATTAATGAAGCCCTTTCAAGCTGGCTTTTTGTCCTTCTGAAATATCCCCATTCCTTGAGTACGTTCTTACTTTCTGACAACAGAATGCTCTAGGCTCGCCTTATACTTTCCCTGTTCCAGCCTGGAGTCCACCTTTCTCCACGGCACCCTGATTCTTTTTTGTGGGTTGTGGTATTTAGAAACCAAGATCTGTATGCTAAGGGTGTTCATTGCCACTGGGTTTAACTGTTCCTAGGTTCTCTCAGCATAGGGAGCTAGGAAATGTCTGTATGTAAATATATACATATACATATACATATGCATATTCAGGAGAGAGCCACTGTAGCATCTCTGGATGTTTCCTTTCAGTCTTTTTTTCCTAAACATTTCATTTTATTTATTTATTTATTTTTTATATTTATTTTAAAGTAATCTCTCTACCCAAAGTGGGGCTTGAACTCATAACCCCAAGATCAAGAGTAACATGCTCCACTGACTGAGCTGGCCAGGTACCCCTCCTTTCAGTCTTTATGAGTTCTTTTTGGGTATATTCTTATTTTTCTTTAGAATATAACTAAAATTATATCCTTTTGTGGATTTTTTTCTTTAAATATTTTGTATACTGTGAGCATTTTCATGTCACTAAAATGACTATAATATTTTTATGTTACTTATTTAGCCATTCACTAATTGTTAGACAGTTGTTTTTAATTATTGTAAATAATGCTGTGGTAGATATTTGTAAACATAAATCTTTACCAAGTGAAATTATTAAGTCCTTGGATAAACATATAACAGTCTGCCAGCTCTATTTCTCAAAGTATATTTAACCTTTTTATTTGAGAGTGTTGTTTGCTACTAAACCACATCAGATTTTCCCTCCTGGGCTGAAAAGTAACATATCTGCAAGTTTAGGTGAACACAATGATTATTTATTTTTTCTTTGCTCTTATTCAGTACCCCGAGTACAGAAGAGCTTATGGAGGATTCTGAATTTACTTATAGTCAGAACTTTGTGACTTCACATGATTGCCTGTGCTTTGCAAGTGAATGCTTTTGTCTGGCCAACTGAGGGTTTTTGTTTGTTTATTTCCACTTATTTCTGGATCCAGTCTGTTTTTTAAAAATTATAGAATAAATAGGGGCGCCTGGGTGGCTTAGTCGGTTAAGCGTCCGACTTTCGCTTAGGTCATGATCTCGCGGTTCGTGGGTTCGAGCCCCGCGTCGGGCTCTGTGCTGACTGCCAGCTCAGAGCCTGGAGCCTGCTTCAGAGTCTGTGTCTCCCTCTCTCTCTGACCCTCCCCTGCTCGCGCTGTCTCTCTCTCTCCTAGAAATAAATAAAAATATTTAAAAAAAAATTATAGAATAAATTGAATGCAGCTTAAAATCCCTGTCAAGACAACATGAAAAATTATATTAAAGGAAAGGAAAACTAGATGTTTAAAACTAAAACAAACCCATTTAAGGAAACATTATTCCCCCAAGCATAAAGTGAAACTCAGTTTAAATATTAGTGCCATCTTTTGACTATAGTACTACTACTGGATCATTTAGAAATCAACTTTTTGTCCTTCTTATTTGGGATTCTTCATGAATCACCTAATATTTCAGGAGCACTTAGTTTTCTTAAATCTTACTTATTCACTTAAAATTTCTGAGGGTTGCTACCACATGTTAGCCAAAGATTACTTGAACATGGCTCTGTTATTTAGGATTATATTGGACTTCATCTGTAAGAAACTTAAAACCTGCCTACGGAGGCATAAGCAAATTAGAGTTTATTTTTTTGACAGAAAAATTGTAGGGATAGCATGCAATTACTGCCAGTGGTTTTCTCTTCTCAATGATATAAGGGCCAGCATCTCTTGGTCTTTCTCTTGTGGTCTCAAGATGGCAGCTGCGCTTTCAGCCATCAGACATGTTCAGGGAAGGAAGAAGAGAGGAAAGAGGTGGTGTCAGATTTACCTACTTTCTTTTATCAGAAAAGTAAAAAAAAAAAAAAAAAGAAAGGAGGGAAAATCTTCCCCAGAATTCCCTCCAAACTTCTTATATGTCATTGGATAGAACTATGCTATGTTGCTCCTTCAGGTAGAGCAGGCAAGTGGGCAAATATATTTGCATCAAGAATCTTTACACTGTGTGTCAACTATACTTCAGTAAAAGAATAAATAAGTAAATAGTAAATACAAAACAAAATAAGAATTTTTGTTGCAACATAGTTTATAATGGAGGAATATAAGAAACTAAATGACCAATAAGCAACTAGTTAAATAAATCACAGTGAAATTATAAACAGCTGTTAAAGGATAAAGTAAGATTAAACAGGCATATATGTACACATATGTATGTAAATGTTATAGTGCTTAGGGAAGTGTTTGGAAAGACCGTACATCATAATATTTACAATGTTTACCTCTGGGGAAAGGAATGACATGAGGGAAGGAGTGAGGAAGGCTCTCAACATTTTGTTTTCTATACTTCTGTTTTGGTCCAGTCTTTTGCCATGAGAATGAACTCATGTAAGTTCGATTAAAAAGTAAGGAGCTCTGAAACAGTGTACAGCAGCTTCTCCACATGTTTGTTGCTGGGTGGAAGGGAATAGAAAACACGTTTATTTTCTGGTCTGTGTTATTTCTGTAGTGTTCAGAATTTTTCTACAATAAGCTTATTCTGCTTTTTATCGCCAGAAAAAGAGGACATTTTCTGTTAGAAAATTATATCTGTAATATAGAGAAGAAATGGGAAGGTCCTAATTATTTCTCTATTAAAGAATATGAATGAAAGATCTCTCCCTTATGGTTTCTGCCCTATGGACCATATGGATAAAACTGGCTTTTTAATACCTGACTAGTGTCTCTTCCTGTTACCCTCTTTTTTAATCATGGTAAAGTACACATACATTTTCTAGCTCTTTTGATTTCTCATTCCCAGAGGCAGTTCCTCCTATGGTTCCTACCTTAACCAGGTCTGGAGAAAGAACCCCTTCTCTTTTCTTTGTTTCTTGGTTCCAGTTTATTGTTCCACACATAGGCCTAAATTCCCCAGTGCTTCGGGGTTTTTTTGGAGGAGAAGAAAGGCAGAATCTGAGTGCTATTTACCCATCCTTGAATCCCCAGTTTGAGCTAAAATCATCCAGTTTGAGCTAAAAAATAATTCGCACTTGGTCAAATTTGAATTGAAACTGGAACATAGTTCTCATTAAGGGAGAGAATAGAAGAGATCTTTAACCCAGGCTATTGAAATACCCTTAGTGGAGAAAGAAGTGTTGTCTTTAAAAGGATCTTTAAAAAGGCAGTGGCATCTTCATTTTGTGTCTCCTGAGATGTGGTTGTATGTAGTGTTATCTAGTTAGTTAATTTCTGCTAATAAATATTCTTTTCTCATGCTAGGAATTTTTATCTTCAAGTGATATGTTTGAAAAAAACCTTTTAAATGGAAAGCAGCCCAGTTTATGCCCTTGTGTTACCAAACTTCCCTTTGGGGGCATTTCTTTCTGGATAAACTTTGGATACTAATGTAATGCCTTTATGTGCTTTCGGGTCTCCCGTGTTAGTGAAAGTCCCATGTAACCCCAGATATTTCATATGTGCTGGTCCAGTAGATCTTTACTCCATTAGGAGGGAGGCAGGTGGTTTCTATTGCAGGCCTGATGAACATCCCCAGTACTGAGAGAAAACAAAAGAAATCCCACTTTGCCAATGTATTACATGTTTGCATGCAAGGAAGGATATTACCATGAGCCTAAAAATGATCACTGACTTTGGCAAGTCCTTGATACGGGGCAGCTTAGCTCTCAGAGCAGCTACTGTTTGCTCCTTGAGTCGTCTTTGCTAAGAGGGCAAAGTATCATATGATATTGCAGAGACAGGGTTATCCGTGGGCTAAGGAGGAGAAAGATTTGGTGTCTCTTTGGGAGAGAATCCCTCTAAGTATATTGTTCCCATCAAAAACAGGTCAGGGTGCTACTTGCATGATTTACAGGATTGCTGTTTGGCCTCTCTGACGACTAAAGTTATTCTAAGGCTTATCAGCATTTTTAGAAACAGCTTACTTTACATGGTGTGAATCCCCTGAGGTGCTGTCAGACCAGAGAGAGTCTGAAGTAGAAAGTCAGATGATCTGTTATTATGGTTCTAACAAAATGAAGAATTTGGAGGTTGTGGAAATAATCTAGGGTTTTTTGCCTATGTTTTTGAAAGTCTTTTAAAGAAGTTAATTCTTGCTTCTCTGTTGTGTTGATGTGGGTCAGATAGTAACATGCCGGTGTTAAGAGGGAGGAGAAGCAAATTCTGAGGGAG